GCAGTATAAAAACACAGAAGCAGCAGTATCTAGATTTAAATCGACAGGATGATGAAACAAGCACATCCCCGCTAATCGATAGTTCCGTAATATACAAAAATACCTACACATAAAAGTTTATTTGTCTAATGAAGCATCTAGCTATTCACCGAGTCGCGGAGGATGAAGCTATCTACGAAGTGGGAACAAAATATCAAATAAAAACAAGAGGCACCTAAAACAACTCGCTTTGCAAATTAAGTACGGTGTAATAAAGTGTTGGGAAGTTTTAGTTGTTCATTATCTTCATTTTATTAAAAAATATACGTTATTAATTATGATTTCGATGATCACTGCCGCTGTCGTTGTTGTAATCGCCGCCGATGTAACGGAAAGTAATCTTGTTATTTCCGGCTCCGACATTTAGGGAATACAGCTCAGTTTACAGCCAGGGGGGGCTAGAAGAGGGCGATGAAGACCCATCAGCAACTGACCCGCGATAGTCGTCCAAGATGATTTGACGGCCATTACAGTCACAAAAGCAACATAGAGAAGGACGACATACTTAATGTAGATAATCGGAACATATATTTTGGTTACTGCAGGACAGTCTGTAAGCGTCAACCCAACGTCATATATATATGTATATACATATGCGTATTGGGCTAAATAGTTACATGACTACAATGACTCTTTAAAAAAAGATGCTTATTTCCACTACAACCTACAATTGATACATTGTGTAGGTGAGCGATGGGTGAATGTGTCATAAAAAAGCCGTTTCACCTAAAAGTTATTACATTCTATATGAAACACTGTCAATACAGTCCCGTTTATGATTTCTTTTTAAAATGTATCCTTTAAGCCCGAAATAGTTCTGTAGCATTGAGTTGGTTAACGGCGTGTCAAGTGTAGAATCACTGCTTGCATAAATATATAATGTATTAATAGACAGATGTTTTTTTTCGGCTTAGCAATTGATTTGGGTTCATGTCATCTTTTTTACTAATTTTCTTACAATGTTTGCCAGTTTCGAATTGACCAAGTATCGATTGTTGTTTATTATTTAACGTGACATGGTTCCTCATATTGGTTTTCGATAGCAAACTTCATAACGCTTATTTACGTAGTTTTGAAGACTTATGCAAGTCCGGGTCACACTGTTTTCGTTGTACTCTACCAGCCCGACTCCCTGATTTTTGTTAAGGTAGGTTGCGCAAGCGGCCTAGCGCTTTGTGAATTCAGCGACGCTACGTGACGTTCAGAACAGCCTGACTAAATCAGGGAATACATAAAAGATTACCCTGCGCTATAAGTATAGCAGAATAATACGAGCTTTCATCAATTAGTTGGAGGAATGTTCGTTCTTTTGTGAATGTTTGCTTTTTCATAATAAAGGCCGATAGCAAAACGATCCGAACGAGTTTGCCAACGCGTTTTGCGCCCGTCCCACACTTGTCCCGGTGTTCTATTTTTAGGTTGTAAGATTTATTACGTCATAAAAGTGGCAAGAAATAAACCGAGCGCCGCATAATACAAGAAAAAATATTCGTACACATATGGACGAACGAGCTCAGACTGTTAAACTCGTATGAAGCTGAATATATTTTCACTATCTGTTATATATAACCTATTATAAACCTCAAAGACAAACCTGCAAGCGAACCTTAGTCAGTTAACGCTAACCTTTTGAAATGAAAAATAAGTGTTTGTTCTAGTTATATTAATTACAAGACTCAATGCTAAGCGTGGCAATTCCTGAGTGGTTGTTTTTATAGTATCAGCATGTATTGAAACTGACTTGAGTACATTAGCATGTAACGTGCACAAGTAGGGTCTCCTGTTTAAAAATTCATAGCGAAAACTTTTTTATTTTCTTGACTATGAAAATAGTGATAAGCTAGCTTTGTATCTAACATCACATGCGGTGCGCTTTTCCTCGAATGGACCTTCATCCAAATTATAAGTTATATGCAGATCCGAACTAATATCCCTTACGATATGCTCGATTGACCTGCAACGTAAAACCGGGGGGAAAAAAACTGTTTTGAAGTGAAAAGTTTTAAGTCCGAAATTTCCCCGGGGTACAATTAAATAGAGGTGGTCAGACCAGCATTTGTTTCGAATTGTTTTCAAATAATCCCATAGGAATTGGAAACAAACGCCATAAAATGCAATCAAGCGTTTTTAGATCTAGTAGCATTTTTTGGATCCCAGACCTAAATTTCACAATATAATTAATTAGTAACACAATTAAGAAATTTATTGTACTTAGTAAGATAAACATCTTAATTTTTTATAGGATATGTAAGTCTCTCAGGTATACTTACTCTTAGCGTGCGCATTTATTATTGTTTTACTAAAAAAATTGCAATCGATTTTAATCTGAGTCGCCGCTAGAAAAACGATAATAACAGTAACTCTTATTACTGATAATCTGCAAATATAAAACCCAGGTGTCGTGCGTGTCATGCCCCATGCCAACCCAATGGACAATTTGAATATTGACCAAAATCGATCTAGCCTATCTTACGTGAAGGAAGTACTATTAGCTACACCAAAGTGGCAAATAATTGATCGTAGAAATGAGCACAGTGAGCGTGAAGCTATAAAAATTTACAGGATCAAAAATGTGCAACGAAGAACGCTTACGGAGGTCTGAGAATTATGTGTGCGTGGACATAGAACAAAATAATTATAACAAAGCGCTATACGTAAAACAGCTGCGAATCATGCATGTTGACAAGGGCTATTTTGTGATAACCGTCTTTTCCGTTACTATAATTACCAAAACGTAAATTATGGCATAAACGAAGTTTGGTATACCTTGTGAAATACGTTCACATGTTAAAACTCTCTACCTATTTTGAGTTCTTGCAACAATGATTACCTTTGACATGTAATAGATAACGCCGGAACTGTAGATACAATACTGACACTTATCCGAGCATACCGCCGCCATTTATAATAACAATAAAATTAGATAGTTGTCTTATATAGATGCAATTGCCTCCATTGACTTATGAACCTGTGTTTTAGTTGACCGAAGAAATACGCGTACGATTGAGCTATAGCGACGAAATAAATCGTTTCGTCAATTGTTATGTTACACATAAATACATCTATGCACCCTTATTAAATACCAGCTCCATTTCAAGAAATCCTTAATGACGACGTACATCGTGTGGGGCATAAAATTTTGTATCGAGCTGTCGTGTCCTACCACAAGCGTCTAGCAAGAATTTCCTCCACATGTCTACCCGCTGTGTACCCATTTGTGTGCTGGTCATTATCAGGTTGGTGGTGTATCAGCAATAAATAGGATGGCACAGGTGCCTGCAGATGCGCAGGCCTCCGTGCTGTGAGTACAGCCTAGAATGAGCTGTGCTTACCTTTTTCGTTGGTATAATGTGTACGTGTTTTTTTTTTCACTAATTGAGTTAATCGTTTTAAAATGAAAAGGACGACGGTGAAGAGCGTTGCGCGTACATTGCTATCGTAGCCCGTAATGGTATCTTTATCATGGGCAGAAATAATAGCCGAAGCGCGAATAGCTTTTTTGCGCGAACATCTAGAGGAGAATTTCCGTTAATCGCAACGTGGGACGGACCATACTGTTTATTACTGAGTACGACAAGTGTGCTATAGTATAACTGCTATTTGGAACATTCTTCTGTAACCGTAACGATTCTTTTAATAGTAAGCCTTGCCGCTTAAACTACAAAAATAGCCAGTAAATATTATGACGAGAGTATTCAGATTGAATACGGTCACACACAGCGTATGCTTGTACAGCAGGAGGAGGAGGAGGCACTGACTGAATTCTTGACTGTGACTATTCGTCGGGATAGACGATGTCATAACGCCAAGGCCGAGCAGATCATTCGTTGCTGTTTGATGCTGCTCGGTGGTCGGTCAACACCCGGTCGCCGCTGTCGCTGAAATGTGAACTTTTCAAATGGCCATGGTTTCTAATGTAGAGAGATATTCTTGGAATCAAGATAGCTGCATCATAGATAGCTACTAAAGTTGACGTTGCTGGCGCTCCAGACGCTAGCGAGATCGACGCTACGACTGATATTTCCTTGTCCTCTTTAAACGACTGAGCCAGTACTGTGAAACTGATTCCGTTCTAAAAGTGTATCGAGTTTTGGCTATACAAATGTAAAATAGGCATTTTAATAAAAAGAAAGATACGAAATCTAATAGATACGTCGAAAGGATAAATGTGATGCTACTACTGGCATTGCTTGTCGAGACGCTTGTTATAAAATAAACCTTTATTTATATTATTTTTTTTATACCAATATGGTGGAAAGAATAAAAGAAGCTCCTATTTCCTTTTTTTTTTCTCTATTAAACATTGCACAGCGAGATGCAAACGGTTTTTTTTTAACTATATTAGAGCGTGCTTAATAGGCAGGTACATTAAATAGAAAAAGGAACTACTTAATTTAAACAATCGGTATTATTTCCCGGTAACGTTCCCCAACGTGATCCGTCTACTTGGTATCATAATGATACATTTAAACGAAAATATTCGCTACGCCACTCGAACGACAGCTATGTTTACAGACAATTTTTGAACATTTCGAACACGTTTGATTATGGGCTGCCATCGACAATGACTATATTTGAAAATAAAAGCTACTTTTATATTAACTAGTCGTTTTTTATTAATACAAAACATTTTTCATATGATTTCAATACCCTTCTCTGTTAAACACTCTGTTAATATTTCGTAGAACGTAATTTGACCGAAGCAAACCAAAATGCAATTAACTTGGAGCACTTAAAACTTTAACTTTATCTAAAAGATCTGCCACGCGGGTGTTAGTTCTTGCCAGTATCCAGCTGTATAAGATTAATCTCCTAACATCTCTAAATGCGGCTATCTCGCAATAATCATTATTAAACAAGCATGTACTTTCGAGAGTAATTCCTAACGTTGTCCTAGAAAAAAAAAGAAAAATACATAAAATGTGGCACTCAAGTGGACATCATTTATTACTAAAATTGTTCAGCTAATTTTTCTTTCACCATTTTTTCACCAATTTTATCACCATTTACTTATCCGTCCTGTCATTCTATCAATATTGTTATAAGGAGTGATCTTCATTGTATAAAAATGAAAGCTATTACACGAGCCGTAATGCGACTTAAATGTTATATACAGTCGCCTTAATCGTTAATGATTTGTGATTATTACTTCAATGAAGTACTATTGGCCTGATGAAATGCGATAGAGTGCACCACTGTTTCTCCTCTAACACGCACTACTATGAATGCATAACACGTCGTTTGGATTTACACAAGGATTGACATATGTATATCCGATACGCGTACCCTGTTTCACGTAGTCTATTACCTGCTTGAGTTAAGCATCGTACGTCGTTCAACCCGTTAGGGTCAGAATGGCCCTTGAGCTTTGCGGAGGCTGCACTGATTCAGCCTGGGACTAAGCAAAGGTCGAGAGCGTCTTACAAACATTGGTCTGCATCGGCAGTAGCTGATGCGTATGATTAGATCGCGTCTTCGAATCTTTCGATTCGTTAAATATTCCTTATCTTATAACATATTAGCAGAAAAAAAGAGCGACATTTAAGTTTTATATTTGCTGTATATCCAATATCTACCGTTAACTTTTCGCACTTTGTGGAGTTCGGCACTAGCACTGATAACAAACAAAGTTTACGAACGAAAAACAGGCTGGGAATCGTTCAGAGAAGCTGACATGATGCACTGAACGTGCCTCTAAAATTCAGTAATCCTTTTTTATTCAGTTAATTATAACCGACAGCTGACTACATAAATTATAATGCTATAAATGAAGAAGACCTGTATGTAGATATGTTTCTTCATATAGGACCTTTGATGAAATCGTTTTCCGCAGTAGTCGCAGGGGAGTGGCCGCACATCGGAGTGAATGGGCAGGTGAGTGCACAGCGTCGATAACCCTTCGAATTTTTTCCGCATTTCGAACAACCGAATCATCTGTCCTCCTAATGATAATGTTGGTCAAGGGCCGAGAAATAAAGATATGAAAAGCACAAAAACAATATATTACACGATGTTCATATCCAAGTTAGACGCTAGATGCTATTAAGCTTCTCTTTTGATTTTTCTCAGAGTATCTCGTTGTCTCGGTGATCTCCTTTATGGCCGTTGCGCTGATTTGAACGCACGCTACAGACGCACGAATTTTTGCGTCGCTCTGAGTATCAGCTCGATTGTATGCGTCATTAACCGTTTACGTAATTTTCAAGACCAATGCCAATGACAAACTGACGCTATTTTTAAAAGCAAAGTCACCCTAATCTTCAGGCATAACTAAGTCGGTACAGGCTAGGAACTGTGCATTCATATGGGGGTCGCCTAGGATGATAAAATCTATTGGCAAATGCAGAGGTGAGAGTAAAGTGTGCATTAAGTGGTCCCAGAGTATACGAGTGACGCGTCGCTCCCCCATCAATGTCAAACTCCTACATAACAATCAAGTGCCAATTAATACTACAGTCTTTAAACCAAAACAATTAAAGAAAAAATGAAGTAAACATAGAAATAAGAGCGAGAGAGATTTCAGGTAAACAAAAAAAGATGTACACAGACAACGGTGGCGATATCTGTGAAAAACAAACAAATAGCTTAACACTTTACCTATATATATATATATATATATATATCGATAGGTCCATAAGTCTGTATGTCAATAATCTTCGACGGCATTTGGGGTCTAAATACCTATCATAATATTTTAACAACGCAAGTCAAGCGAAGTGTATGACCAGACTTGTGCTAGAATTGTGTTAACACCTCCTGAACACTGTCGGGTGCTATTTTTTACAAGTTTTGTTAGATAACTCAGAATGAACGGTCTGGAAAGTGGGTAATCTGAAACATTCTCTATCACTACAAACGCGTACTGCTCGAGCCCCTCTGTTGGGGAATTAAGCCCTTCAACTACTTTGGGGTTGGTAATATAACCCGCCTTTGCTGATGCTAAACATAAGATCGGTTAGTTTCGCTGTAAAGGTCTGTTGCCACCTCGTAACAACGGACAAACCCGTTTGCTGTGTCTATTTATGATGGCTGCCTAGATTTATAGCAAGACCCTAAAGCTCTATTAAAGAAGGTTTATAATAGGCTTCTATTGCATGTATAATTTCTCCTGCAAGGTGCAAAGCGTCATCCCCGACCGGTTTCGCAGCTATTAGGGATCGCCTGAGCTAGAGCATGCTTTCCTCTCTACTTCGAATTTTCTAATGCTTACATTATATATTAGACCAACAACTTTGTTAATATAGTCTCAGCATGTGATGATTCAGCTAGTTCTCCCCACACGACACAGTGGTCAATCCTTCGTAGTGGTTACTTTTTCGACGCCCCAGTTAATTATAAACCTGTTGATAGCGAGCAACTATACATATGGGAATCATCTCTCCAACCGTGCTGCAACTCAAAATATGTTTCCTGTGTTCTACGTCCATGGATGATATTTCACAGCAATGTTTTGGTCACGAATTGTCTCTATCCGCAATTCTCTCCGAAATAGCCGACCTGATCATCTATCAAATTACCTTTGACAAACATGTCTATATTAAGAATACACAAACACATGATATTATCATGAAAACGGACGAGTGGAACGCATAGCACCGATATTGTATGTAAAGCTATCGAACATGTTTTAACAAAAATCACAAACTCTCGCCGACAATCAACAGATTGGATTCTTTCCAACGACTTGTCGCTGTGAATACTCGACTTCAGCTCTAAAATTTTTGTGTCCTGTCGAATCCATTTTGTTGGTTTTCAGAAATAGTTAGACTAATTATTCTGAAAAAATTCTGCCGACGTCTTAGCAGAATCACATGTCCTATTGTGCAATCATGAGATAAACACGACAAAGACAGCGAAATGCGTCGTACTATGCGTCACAATGGTTAGTCACCATTTTCTTGTTGAAGTGCAGCGTTCAAAAGTACAGAGATATATTTGAACTGATTTGAAATAAAGGCCTAATTTATACCAGCTCACCTCTGACGTATATACGGCTACGGATGATAGAGCTATAGTTCTACATACGGAATGCGTCCGATTAGATATAGTGATGCCAGAAGTCGAAGCAGATGCTCCACTATGAACAATGCGAGATGTAAAACATTTAAATCGTACGAGTGAGGATACACAAAATGTGTGAAAATCTGGAGCTTTCAATGTCGATTTTCAATGTTTAGAAGGAAAACATGCCTAAATCGAAAAATACCAACAATAAGTGGTTGGTTATTTTCCATACTCTGTGACGATTCTTATTGGTGCAAAGGTCAACATTGAGTGCAATATAGTAATTTTAGGTAATACTATTGTCAATTAGACTTCCTATATTCAATTTTGCTGGTAACGATCAAGTACCTCATATATGTACACCAAACAAAATAATATGTGAATAAGTACATTTGTTTAGGTCTGCTTATGTAGAACATTAATTGACTGTCAAAAAAGCTAGGTTTTTTTTTTATTCGACTTTCAAATTGAATATGCTGACCAATAGAAGCAAGTTCAGACCCTGCCTTTCTATTTTTAAAAATAGAGAAAAACAAATTGAACTAGTCATCGTTCTATTCCCGCTGCCTCCCGTTATCACAGTGGCATAGTCGTTAAAGCTTGATAACCGAACAATAAATAACAGCCATATTAAAAAAACTAGAAAATTCACTATTTCCTACAACAGAACTAAATTGACTAAGAGGTCGCCATTACCCATAGGCATAACTGGATGAAACGTTATGCAGGCAGGTGTTTTCCAAAAGCAAAACAAATGTGTGACCAATTTAATGAGATTTATCCATTGCTCAAGAGAAGCGTTTAGATTTTATTGAATGTAACCACTCGATAACATTAACTAAAACTCAAGGGTCGAAGTCAGACGCAGGCAAATTCTAAGGTCGTATTAAGAAGAATGCTACTTTTGTCAATGTCATTTGATGTAGGACAACTAGCCAACTTATCGTTCATTATATTCGATTTATATTATCCTAATATTATAAATTCTCAGCAGAATACAGCCTTCCACGATGGGCTACGCCAAAGTATTCGTCGGGGAGCCTGCCATTTCAGCGATTACGAAGCTTCAACAGCATAAAAACAAAACATTACGCGCAAATCATGGGTACTATTTGCTAAATAATCGTCGGCTTCCGTTTGAATGAAAGACCAGGCTTATTTAGGTTTTTTTTTATTTAGCGTTTTTGAATGCTAAGCGAGGTGGCCACAGTCGTAATATCGATTTGCATCAAAGTAGAAAAACTACTTGAATAAGGCCTATTTTGTCGAATGAACCTGTCTTCTCCTAGGTTCCGCCTGGCCTTAGCAATAACAGCCGACTCCTAATACCTATCGTCGGAACCTTCTAGCGTCTGTCCGTTATTTTCTTAGCGCGCTGAGTAAACAGTCCTGAGCACCGTCCTTTTAAATAACCAAACAAATATTTAAATTATCTTATTAGCTGTCTGATTCTTCATAAATCCGACTCTCACATAATTACCCACTACATTGTTAGAATTAGAATGCTGTGGTTTGTAATAAGCGCTACCGCTTATAGACTCGTTAAACTGTTATAATGCGTAACCCAAATTGTCGTATTTTTCATCACATCTATTCGATGGCTAGCTTGTTTCTAAACAGATTCTAGATAGATTCTGAAAGTTGCCGATAAAACTATTTTTAGTAAAATTGTTAAAAAAATAGTAGTAGCACATGTTATACTTTTTTTTAATAGTTACTAGTACAAACTTCAGATTCGTCAAATTGCCACCGGAGATAGATAAGTTTTTGCGGTGAAACATAAAGCAAGGTCAAATTTTTCCCGACCTCAAATATAAGAATTAACGATATTGCTATTTCCGTATGTCTAAAAACGAAGATATAAATCATTGGTATTTTTGGGAGGTATAGCCATATGTTATAAATATGGTAGAATTTTAATGAACACACATTCTATGTACCTCTTTACAGCTGCACGTTCGATACGGGAAGGGCCGCTGTTAACCCCCTTGACTTGGAACATCGGATTCAAAAGTTTCATTGAACTTCAATACAGCTTAACAATATGGTTCCTTACGAAGACGTGCCTGAAACCCAAAGCTTCTGAATCTCGAGCTGGTAAAATCCCGAGTTATTAAGACACGTCCATTGGTAGCCCAACAAGAAGAAAGCTCGATACAATGCAATTGTATTATGCTAAAGTAAAATCAATCCAAAGACAACTTAAAGAAAGAGGCTGAATAGAACGAAATAATTAATATTACCAACTAATGTTTCTATTATCCGAAAACAAACGTAAAATATTTATTAAATTGTGTTGGTAGTGACCTATATGTAAATGCGCCAGAAATTGCGTTATGCCACTACACAGAAGTACAAAAGTCAACGCGTTTTTACGTATAATAAAATAACCACGGAATACGCGGCTATATGAATAGCAATATGCAGATAATCTCCCGCAAAGGAGAAACAAGAAACCAAGGTCAGACTGACAAGACGTGGGAGTCGCACGCACAAAATCAACCGCAGACCTTGTTATTGTCCAACGATAAACGCCAAATGTCCGTAGAGACAACTATGGCGTTTGCTGTTTTCATTGTTATCGCTGTGACTGCTGTTTCTGTATAAGCAGTATAATGTAACGTGAGTTATAAGTTCAGTTAATAAGGTGAACGCTACACGCAAACAGGACAAAAAAAAAGAAGAAGATAAAGAAAAGAGCTCGTTTGCGACCGCGTCAGATTAGCGCATAAAAGATAACGTAGTTACCGGTAGCTGCCATAAATCGTCGGCTGAAATCAGCCCAAACAGACCCGCTCATCATTGACGTAGGATTACGTTAATAATAGCTAGTCTGAGCTATTGCTGTTGTTGTTGTGACAATGATGACATCGAGTCTGAAGCGATGCCTGACGGCAATAGCAAACGTGATATATAGAACGTTACATTTTTGAATAGTGAAATGACGGAAGGAGGTAGCGGAGATTCGATTCCGTACGAATTCGATGGTCCCTAGGACGACTGAGTCCTGCAAAACGTAAAAGTGAATGTCCTCTTTCTATGCACGTCACATAACTCACTATGTCAGCAATCTGCCCGATTGTTCTCTTGCAGCAGAAACAAGAACACACACTACCGGTGGTGATAAATGTCACACCAAGAACAAACTGCTATATTCCTAATAGGCCAATAATAATAATGTGTATGTACACGAACTCCAGCCAGGCATGTAGACGGTTTTCCTTAGGCACCAGAAGCAAAGAAATGCTCGTGATAGGTTTACTCGTGTGATATGGTAAGGTGTAATGGCGGTTCCGGACCTAAAAACATGAAGTATTTCATCACAGTAATAATCGTTGTTAGCTGCTAGTAGCAGTTGTCGCCGACAGGTGAAAACTTAACAATTGCGCGCCAATTGGCCTAGAGCATCAAGTCATATCTTTGAATAACAGATGGCTTCTCTGAGTTGATAACTATTGACTAAACATAACAATACTAATAAGCTGTATGTATGTATATATGTACGTGCATACATAAGCGGAGCATTCCGAATGTCTGAGTAAACGGAGAGGAGAAAAAGGCGAGAATTGAAAAAAACACGAGCACATAGAATCAACAAGGATAAATAAAATAACAGAAAAATACAATACGCTATAAACAGCGTTTATGTAATTTTAGCGTGATTTTCATTGCAGAGTAAACATCTTTTACATAATTCTCATGTACCAGCTCCTACAATGATTAATTGTAGAATTAAACCTATAAGTACAAATGCGTAACATTCATAATAAAATCCTTCTTAATAGTCAATGTTCATATTCGCTAAGAAGAGTACATATTTGCTACCGTATACGTTGTCCAGTTGCTCCATCCGAAGTAGCCATAATATTATTCACAGAACTACTTGTTCTTAAATCGTCTATGGTGAATAAGTGGTTGCCAACGGCGACCGAAAACGTTCGCAGCTGTAATTGAAATCATCGTGAGGTTATTGAATTTCGTATGTACCCGCAGCTTGCAAATACTTCACTAAGGAAATCGTTTAATTTAACTAGGCGACAATCTAAAAAAAAATGATGTTTTTCTAACATCGTAGGCTAAGATCATAAAAGCACACACGGGCAAGCTAAAGGGCTCGAACGCATCTGAGAACTCTGCAGGACAACACGATCTACGATAGAAGCTAAAAAGTGGCGGTCATTTTCGAATTGATTTTCAAGTGGCGCGCGAACTGTTCAAGCTGGACACGTTGGTACGCCTCGATCTATTTCAACGACGATTTAATTCTATTTGAACGACATGACCAGATTCTTTACAAGAATATTGGCGTATTGTCCTGACGAGGCAACCTTGCCAACTGCTATATGCATAATAGGCATCGTGCTGTTTCCAGCAGCAGCTATTTCTTTCTATCAGAAGAGAATATGTATCACATTTACGCCGCGTCCCGCAGAGCGGTAAAGCGGTTTCGTTCCTTTATAAGTGCTATACACACACACTCACATGTATATTTGTCAATAAATTGTAGTCACACGACTGCTAGTGACGCGTACAGCAGCAGCAATGCACGAAGCTAGGTTTTTGTTATGGGCAGGTTTGATTCTGTACGGTGACCTATGAAATATATTTTGTGCTCATTTATGGATTCTGCTGTTCCTACCAAGTAGGTTAATGTCATCGTCATGTATTCGTCAGACCGACCACAACAGTACGTACTCGAATTTGAAATTAAAAAGGCCTGTTTCACTAATAGAAAACATTTTCAAATGTATATTGTACCGTCCACCCGCAGTCTATTGTTTCGCTGATCCGTTGGTTCCCGCTGTCACTCGCCATCTCTCATAGTCACTTTCTCGTTTTGTACCACTAGAATGATCACGATTATTATCACTATTATAATCGACATATTTGTAAAAGGATGAAATGGCGCGGCGTAAGTGGACGAATGTACCAAATCCGTTGGCATCAAGCCACTTTGGCTTGATGCCACAGCTCACCAGTTTCAATCGATCTGCTGTTTAGCATTCTGCCTATCTCGACATCTTTGCTCTTTGGCCTGTGCTAGCGCTATAACTGTTATGCAAGGGATGATTTTTTTCGGTGCTGATGTTCGCTACAGCTGCTGCATTAAGCAGATCGCCTCAATCCAAATCGACGAAACGTACAATTCTCTCAGCCTAAAGCTCTTCTGCTACTTGAAGGTGCCTCCGCTGCTTTTCATACTATAATCGTCCGCCGATTTCCTGTCCACCGGCTAAATAGAGAAAATCTAAAGAAAACGGACAAAAATAAAGCTATCCTTTCGATTGAGTTCAAAAAAAGGTTTAAAAATTCGAAATTAACACATACACATTCGCACTGAGACCAGTAAGGGCCAGTTAAAGGGGACTTTGAGGCATCAGTAGTCGATACTGATCAATTGCAGATAGTTATTATCGATCTATTATTTTGAGTACTCCTCCATTGTGATCGTTTTATTTGTAAACGTACGCCCGACGGAAGCAGTGCGGGACCGACCGAACTTATGCGATCGGGCTTGAGACGGGTGGCTTTAAATAGAATTTAGTAATGTGTAAACAACCTGTACATTTATGTGAGGACGCTCATTGCGAAAACGAATGGTCGATGCTGTGTTATTGACCTAGCCCCTTCTCTTAAAGAGAGAACCGAAGGCGTTACGTTATCTCATGCCACTATTGTAGAGTATGTCGTTCACCATGTCCGACATATTCGACCACACCGTCTCTATCAGATTCTGCCGCAAATAGACAATTTAACTGAGACATATTGAACACGTTGAGGATATAGGAAACTGCTGGCTGAATAGTTTCCAGATTGTTTCTGAATATACATTTCGTCACCGCACTGCCTGAAACCCGTATAATAACTCCCAACTCAAAGCAGTCGTTACCACGAAAATAGTCTGGGTCAATGCACAATGAAATTTAATTAAAAAAAAAAAAAAAAAAACTACTGTAGGGATATTTTACATATATGTAATGGGAACAACTTTTAACCGAATCTGATTTTCACTAGGGCCCCGTTCGTAATGAGTTCGTTAATCAGTAATGAGGCCGACAGCGAGGAGTGAGACTAGTCCCAACTGCCGTAACAACTCACTAGTCGCAGTAATAATAATGATAGCACCAATAAAAACAATGTCAATCGACATAGGAGCGCGCCGATGACGCTATCAGATTTACTATTGTTAGCTGTAAATGTGCTCAGCACCGAACAGGGTATCGTGATCGGCAGTCATTCACAAGCGACATAGATATCTAGCTGAGCGTGGCAGACAAAGCGTCAATCGTATCAACGCTACACAACTACGACCACAACTTTTGCTGAACTAACTTATACTTTACTATTCGCAGAAGTTTCTTCAGTGTAGCTAACTGTATAAGCACTCGGTTTGATCGAATAGCTGACGGAGTGAAGCTGTTCGGTTTCACGTTTGAATGAGATGAGAACAAGGTGCAAATCACCTTATACACCTTTCATACCCTGGACAAACAGATCGTGTACTTGTAGAAGTCCTAGACAAGGCAGTCACCGACGTTGGTGACGGTAGCGGTCGGTACGAAGAGACAAAGCAAAGTTTCACGCACGGTGCGCACAAAACTGCCAACAACACTATTGAAGCACAAGAAATAAAGCGTGCTTCACCATCATCGCAACTGTCGGTAGCAATTAAATTGCCGTTATATTGGCAACGAGGGAATGCGTATTGGCCTTAGGTCGGCTTAGAGATGCAGTAGCAAACAAAGCTAAAGCAACTGACGGATTTCGGCCATTTGATAATTAACGACACGGCTATTTCGCCGCACTCTGCGCTCGTCGGATGGTCCTATGAAGGTTATATGAACCGCGTAGAAGCATACAGAAGTTTATCTTTCGTTTCAGAAACAAAACCTCAGGCATACTTTCAGAAAAATTAATTTTATCTAATCAGCCGCATATACATCGTTAACGATCTAACTTTATTTGACCGTTGAAAGTGATCTGTTTTTATATTGTGTGTTCATATTTGATTTCGGCGAAAAATTCTAGTATCAAAATATTGCCTTGTAAACGTTAGCTCGCTCATACAAGCAGGCGGACTCTGTGGTGTTAACGTCAATCGATTAAGCTACATACATGCATTTACATATTTACAATAGAGATACGAGCGTCGAGGTTTCTATATGTGCGCCGTTTAGCGAAGTGAGTATTTACAATTTCACTACCTTTACTACCCGTAAATAGGCTGCTGATACTGTCAACCTAACTTACGAAGTAAAGGAAAACTATAGAGAGGATGGCGATGATGAGAGGCCAGGAACTCACGCAAAAACCCCACACACGATGGAATACCACGAAAGTGTCTATCCTGTGAACGCATGATTGTCATCTGTTGCTTTGTGGAATCAAGAACATATGTTTCTGCTTTCTCTATTCGCGCGAATAACCTTATATACAATAAATGGGTTTAGACCTAATCTTCAGCTGAATAATTTGTGAGTACATTAAACGACACGAGGGTAAGATTTGCAGTTGGAACACAACAGGCCCCACCTCGTATTCCCTAGTGCTGAATTTTCCTAGCGATCTTGAAAAGTGTGGCGTTTTATGTATTTCATACTCGACCATGCACCGGACGTAGTGTGAGTATCACTAGACACACACACCGCTACCTGCAACTTGATCAAAATGACGACAATATAAAAGGGTAGAACCTTTATTAGGGTAGAAGTCTTTTTTATTTAATATGATACAGATATAAACGCGAACATCATTTCTCGTACTTATACAATTCCGATCCTGTAATTAAAGTGAAGCTAGGTAAACGATAAAAGAAATTACTATGTGGCCTGTTGAAGATAGGTAAATAGGGGTTCATTCTCGTTATTTTACTATTAAATAAGCTACGCTACGGGCGCGATCGCCGCCAGGATTAAAATACAACGGCAAATGCATGTGACGCACGGTTTTAGATGAGTTTATTATGAGCGCGTCAGGTGGACGCGCGGTGCGCGTTTGCATGTTACGAACTGGCGCCGGCGTAACGGTACAGCGTTGACGCGCTTTCCCATATGAACAGCAGTAGCCTTTTTTGCCGTTGTTGGCATACTAAAGGTATTCATTCATTCACCCAAAGACAAGTAGAATCTGACGGATGAAACGACACTCGATGAGTCGCGAGCGATTTCGGCTGGCGCTTACAGTTATATCCAGCCGATAAAGAGACTATACTCAAAACTAGCGCGTATTGGGCCTCTTGCAGACCTGTGTAAAGATTGATATTATTATTGATTTGTTCAGAATGGTGGCAACCGACGGTAGCACAAACCGCATCGATTGTGAACCCATAATTAGTAATGGTAGGTGCAAGTACGCAATGACGCTTACACGTTACAACGTATTGGTCTTGCATACTGCACATAAATCAATTCCATATAGGTAAAATTCCATATTCTATGACGGAGAGACAAAACGAATTTTCTGTGGAACGGTCGCGCACATATGTACGTGTGAGAAATAATAATGATAATTATTATGTGAATCAATAGTTAACCTTATATCGTGTTATTTGGCAGAGTCATAAATTGTCCCAATAAGTTCGAAAGCTGGGAATTATGATGCACGTTGGGTCGAATGTCCGCCCAAGACGAAGCGGCTTTATTCAGTTACGTACGG